GTGCCGGCTGGATTGCAGCAGGCTCCAGGACCCGGAGGCAGCGGGCAACCTTGTCCGCAGGCGCACCCCCCTCTTCGAGAGCCGCCCGGATCTGGTTGCCCAGTGGCCGTTGCGACCCCTTTCCCCCTGCAAGCTTCCTCCGGTAGCGAGAGCCTGCATCTGCCGGGACCACCCACCCCGACATGGCAAGGGCCAGGATGATGTGGAGCAGCCACGCCAAGGCATCACAGAGCCACTGCGCAGCCGCCCGATGCAGCCTAGCCCCGTACACCCCTCGACCTTGCCCCGTGCAAACCGACCGTAGGAGGCCCTCCAGACTCCGGAACGCCCCCGCCGACGCCGCCAACCCTGATGCCCAGGCGGGCCCGTCCAGCCACCAGCGGGGCATCCTCAGCGCACCCCCCGCTCTGCGACCTGTGTGGACAGCCAGGGGAACCTGCACTTCAATAAAGAAATGGTCCCCCAACGTGTAGTCGACGCACTCCGGCCACCGGCAGGGTTCTCCTGTACAGCAATGCAGCCCATTGTGTACGACCGCCGGCCCCGCCGCCGGCGGGGACGCAACAACCACATCAATGCACCGCGGGGTGCCGCCGTGGTGTGTGTCACCCGGACGGAGAGGGACCGCTTTGCTCCTGCGCGGAAGCCAGACCTCTGTCCGTGGGCCCTGACCCACTTGGGGATTGAGGTGCGCAAGACCCCACTCCTCCAGAAAAGTGGCCCATCGCCTGTCCCTCGCCCTGGCTGGCTCCCGGTCACCTCCCAGGGCCGCGGGTTGCATATTGATGTCACCCATCAGGACAATTGGAATGGAGAGGGGCGCCCTCGGGCTTCCACCGCAGACCTCCTTGATGTCCTCGCTGAGCCCCTCCAGTTGGGCGTGCCAGTCAACATCGCAGCCTGACTTGGGTAGAGGGGGCAGGTAGAGGGTGCAAATGTACCAGGCGACGCCGCCCGCGTCTCGGTGGGTGACCCAGAGACGCCGGTCCGAGCCCACCTCGACTACTTCCCTCAGCTCGGGGAGCTGCGCCTTGTCCCAGACCACTGCTGCCGAAGCGTATGACGGGCCCCCTCTGGCTATGATCCCCATCCATGGCAGCTGCGGAACTTTGACCCCCCGTGCCAGACGCGCCCCCGGGAGCCCGACGAGCGCCACCTGGAGGTGATCAAAGGCGGAGGCGATGCCCACCTCTCGATCTGTGAAGAGATGCCACCGGACCGTCTTGCCGTCCACACTTGTGCATAAAGTCCCGTGCTGTTCACGGACCGGCAGTGCCACTGTGGCGTGGGGGGGCATGGGGAGAACACCCTCGCGCTGCGCCCACCGCAGGAACGAGCGGATGCGCTGCACCTCCTGCGTGTTCGGTAAAGAACCACCCAGCTGCCCCGCCTGCTGTTCCAGCGCGTGCCCCTCCTGCCTCAGCGCTGCCCAGCGGCACCCAATCAGTGCATCCGCCTCGTCGTCACCTGTGGGTCCCAGACCCCGTCCGTGAGGAAACTCTGCGAGGAGTGCGGCCAGGGCGGCTTCCATGCCCACGTCCCATTTCACCCCGCCGGACCTCTGATGAGCCAAGTTCTACGGACAGGGCCTCCCGGAGGCCGAGGAGGAGGAGGAGGCGGCCTCCCGGAGGCCGAACGGGGCGCCGAGAGCTGCCCGTCGTGGAGTGTGCACGGCGGGCGGAGGCGGGGGAGACTCTTCCTCGGCCGAGGGGGCGGCCGACGGGAGCATGGGGCCGCGGAAGGGAGCGCGGGGCTCCGGGCGGCAGGCAGCGACCCCAAAGCGCTCACGGATCGTCGCCGACGGGCCCTCAAGTCGAGTCGGGCCTGTCCCTCGCTACAGGAGGAATCTTCAAAGATAGAAGCAATATCTGGGGACGATCTATGTTTTTCGCATTCCTGAGCCATTTGGGGACTATTTTTTCTAGTGCTTGTCCTTGTTTGTGCAACACCCGCCTGTGGGGGGGCACGCCCGACCTAGCCCTAAAAGCCCGGCCCGCTCAGAAACACGCGATTTTGCTACCGTGGCCATGCCGCCGATCTATTGCCGGGGGTATCGCCGATCCCCCCCCCCCCTTCTCTGAGCTGTCCCCTCCCCCCCCCCCTCGTTGCCCCCCTCGAGAGGGGTTCCAGCGTCCCCCCTCGTTGCCCCCCTCGCTCGTTCCCCCCTCGTTGTCCCTCCCCCCTCGTTGCCCCTCCCCCCTCGTTGCCCTTCGCTGCCCCCCCCCCCTCTCTGAGCTGGCTCCCCGCCCCCCCCCCTCGTGGCCCCTCGAAGGGGGGGTCCAGCGTCGACCCACGAGTTCCATCGGCGCGGACCTCCGACAGCTGACGTTTTGTCGTTCGTCGTTTGTAGTGCGGCGTCGGCATCTCGGAGGACGCCATCTGGGGCCTCTCGGAGTATACTCCGAGCGGGAGGCGTGACAAGCTTTTTCTCGGCAT